TTGCTCATATCCATCTCAATATAACACTGCAACCCAAGGAGCTAGCAGCAAATATGCAAGAATTCAGTTGCTCATAGCAACTGTATTCTGGGAATGCAAGAAACTGTTTAATATGGATTGATATCTTTATTCTATCTAGTTCCATATTTTCTCTGTCAACTAACACAGGTTCTCCAGCAAACTCTGAGAGAGAATAGGACACATACTTAGGTTTTGGTAAGATATCACTAAGCCACAAAAGCATCTGTTAACTTGCCCACCACCGAGTGTCACGAGTAGATGGAATCCAGCTTCTCTTTACCAGAAAAGTCTCTCCTATATAATCCCATTCATACTATAGTACAGCTGATGAATATGAATTGTACCTTTAACATTCCACTAAGAATCATTAGGAAGATGAATTTGCCCTTCAGATAATTTGGATAGACTCAAGACATCCTAGTGGGACATTTTCCTGGATTCAGCAAAGCAACAGTCAGTCTCCCCAAGCAGGTTAACTTTCAATTATCACTTCAATTACATTCTCTGTAATGAATTCTGAATATGTGTTGAATATTAAGAATATTAAATGGCTTAGTAAATAATTAGGCTAACTGCATTGATTTCATTATGAATTCTAAGTTTGTAAATGTTGCCTTCATTTATTTTCCTACATTCCTTACTTCCCCAAAGACTCATTTTTATATGTAGAGATCTGACTTCATTGACTTAATATGGGAATTTATTATTAAAACTTTCCCATGTCCAAGACAACAGGGTTATTGTATTATTTATTTATTGTATTTCTATACTGTTGTAATCTATATTGACTCTGCATTATTCAGCTATACTGTGAGTTTCAGGAATCTGTAAATTCTGTATTTCTGGGTGCTGGCCAGGGGATTCCAAAGCACTTTCCTCTGTTTTTCCTAGGGCTGGGCTGAAGGAAGAACGCCTTGATGGACAAGTTAGAAATCCATCCAGACAAAACAGCAGATGTAGGAGGTTCAGCCTGACTGGTAATAGCATATCATAAGCATCTTGGAAGAAGGCGTCTGCCACTAAGAATTTAAATTATCCCCTCCAAGTTCATAAGAGGGGTTCTTCTCTTTGTCGAGACATAAAAATGAGGTCTTCTGCATGGAAAGCAGAAGTACTAAGCATCAGTCGTTCCCCAAGTAACATATGCTGAAATTCAGAAAAGGCCAGAGATATCTATTACAAAGATATGAAAATGTGCATGTACAAGAATCAAACTTGCAGGCCTACTACAGTATCACTGTACTACCATCATTTTGCAAAGCAAAATTCTCCTTGAGTTAAGTTATTTTTCCTCTCTTTTCCCCAGGTGCTGCTGTACTTATGCAAACATGCCTCAAGATATTTTTAAGAAGCATTTTATCTGAAGTAATATGAATGAATCTGGGATCATTCATTCACGCAAGCAAGAACATTGAGTATGAACACTGAGTATGCATATGTGGACAAATCCATCACAAACCCATCTTGGAAGTACACACCCCTTTAATAAGGAACAACTGCAAACCTACTATGAACCAGCTAAAGAGCATGTATGTTTGGCTTACATGAATTAACATATGTGCTACAAGAATGGGAAGGAGAAACAGGAGAGATGCAAGAAACAGTGGGAAACCAGGAGAAAGTTTAGGCATTTCCACATCACCATATCCCCTCCCTGGTCCCTAAAAAGATGTGTAAAGCAAGGCCAATGTTGTCTTCATTGCTCCAGGCTGCAGTACTGTACTCTGAAACAGTTTTCCTTCATAGATTTGCTATTTCAATACAAACAGTTACTATTTAGGGGGAAGATGCAAATTCATCATACCACTAACCCTAAGTTGTATTTAAAAGATCTGGAACAGCAAACCTCTATGGAAAGAGGCTGGCTTGAGCTCAGGAGCCAGGGTAGGCAAGTTCCTATCAGTAGAAAAAATGGTCCATTTGAAACTCTGAAAAACTTTAGTATTCTAAACAGAAAGATTGCTTTTTGCAATATTCTAAATCCACCACAGTTGAGCTGGAAAAACTGGCTCATTTGCTGAACACAGATGAGATGAGATCATGCAGGTGTGCATCTATGTCTGGACTGGCACCAACGCACTGCGTGGAAGTCTTAACCATGCGGGGGCTGGCATAATGGTTAGGACTAGTGGGGGGAACCTGCACCCACTGGAAGGGAACACATCCAGGTATGCAGCATTTCTTTACCTTGGGCATAAAGTTAAGTTAAGGGGCTGGAAACATTACATCCACACTGGCCAAAAACAGTTTAGTCCAAATGCGAAAATGACCTAGCAGAGTAGTTTCCCTCCAAATATATAGAGAGAGACAGTATACAGAAGCAGAGAAACAGATATATCAGTAAGTAGTAGGAAGTCTGCTCCCCCCCCCCATGATAATTAATGCTTAAATATTTTCTCAAAATACATTTTTGGACAGACAGTGAAGGCATAGTTTCTCTCAGCAGTGGTTTAGAGAAAAAGCTTGTATCACAATATCTTTGTTGATGAAAATAAAAAACCCTAGAAATCAACAAGAGGTATGTGTGGCCATGCAGCACGTTGCCTGTGGTTTCTTTATTTTACATGTGTGCACAGTTTAAGCAAAGCTTTACACTTCTGGGCTCCCAACTGCCCTATTGTACTTGTTTCCCAGGCTTATCTTTCTTTCTGCTATTTGAACTAGATTCTCACACCCCATCCTAGATACCAGCCACTTCATTCATAATAAACAAGGAGCGCACAAATACATAAAAGATCAAAAGAAGGAAAGAAGTGGGGAGAGGAAACTACACTGGATTCTCATCTGCAACTCTGGTTCCTATTAGCTGGTGTTTTTATAAAATTTCATATGATCACTGTCGTTTAGCTTTCATGAATGTCAGCGTTAAGTGGTGCCTCCAGTAACATGGTAAAAAGAGGCTCTCCTAGTGATCCAGTGGGTCTAGCTGGAGAGGACTGTGATCTGCCTACTGAATTTTCTCTTACTAGTCTTGATGAGATTAAGATGATGGATATAAGAATAAAACAGAAAGATACTGATAATGAAATTATAGAATGGCATATACAATAAAATATCTTATATAAAACATTCCTGTAATACAGCCTTGCCTAATTTTATGTCCTCCAGATTGGTATAACTCCAAAGGCCATTTCTGGCATCCAATCCAGCAATGCAGATGATTACAGTCCACCTCATTTTGGAGAACAGCAGATTGTGGAAGGCAAGTCTCAGATACAGTAAACTTTTCCTTGGAATACCTTTAGACACAGCAACATTTGACAGAACACTTTGTAGTTCTTAAATCATAATGAAGGAAACACTCCTTCACGCTGCCACCGTCCTGACAATACTTTAGAACAAACTGTACCATAACTCTGAGCAGATTTTACAGCATGACTGAGAAATGGAAGTTTGATCAGAATTACTGTTGACATCACCAACACAGATGTCTTTTACTTAGTACAAGAATAGTAACAGAAGGTTTGGCTCATGTAAGAAAAGCCTACAGTGTGGTTTATCTCCACACCAGTATTCCCTGATTTTCAGGAGAGAGTCAAGTTATGAGCTTGTAGGGAAGATATTTATCTTCTGATGTTCCTGGGAAATTCAGAATGGGCATACAGTGCAGAAATCTCTCAACAAAAATAATATTAGCAGAGATCTTACTTATGGGAGTTTGCTACTCCAACCTATTCCTAAGAAATAGAAAAAAATAAACATTTTTTTTTTCAAAATCAAGCGTCTTTTAAAAAAATTAACCCATCTTTTACTGGCTGTAAAGTTTAGTGTCTAGCATTCGAATAAATGAATAGCAACATTAATAGCTAAAAAACCAAACCCAAAAAGAAGGAAAGATCATTCACAGATGTTTAAATAAGGGAAAGGATCTGGACTAAAAATTGTGAATTATTAGACTTGTTAATCACAAATTGGACACAATGCCTTTACTTACGAAAGCAACGAGGGCTTTCAAATGTATTAGTTTGTCTTTTAAAATTTCCATTAAAGAATTACACCCATTTGTCCAGGTTAGATAGCTTGTGATTACAGTTCAAGTCCTTTTTGTTCAAATTCAGAATAAAGAAAGAGTTAAAAAAAAAAAACTTAGGCTGTAGAGAAAGGAAATGGAATATCTCTCTTAGGCTGTAAAGTAATTAAGTCATAAAGTGTTTAAGAAACTGATGTTTTTGCTGGTCAAATGTCTGTTAAGGCTGCGTTGTAAATCCCTCAGCTCCCAAGCCATTCAATTCACTATCGACCACAAGAAACTCAATTTCTGTGGTCTCCTTGCAAGGAACAGCTCTTCCAGAGCACAAAGTGGGTGATCCCACAGATCCCTCCTTATCCCCGGAGAGATTTTCGTCAGCCACAAACTGGCTCCTGGCTGGAGATTCCATTGCAGTGCTGTCCCCACTCACAGAGAGGCTCACAGGGACATCTGACCCACCACCAATCCTCAGCCAGAAGCCCAGATCAGCTCAGATAACTTGTGATTACAGTTCACGTCCATTTTGTTCAGTTTTCAGAATAAAGAAAGAGTAAAAAAAAAATTAGGTCTGTGTGCTGGTTGATATGCCAATTACAGGGTATCTTCCTTCTGCAATAGCTTGTAAAATTTAGGCAGCATCTACTATAGACACCTATCAATGTAAGTTTACTTTTTTTAAAAAAATGTATCAACTCAAAAATATATTCCTATAATATATGTAACATGATTTGCAAAGTTTATGTATTCATTAACAGTGGCTGGGGTCCAAAGAATTATTTCTGGCTACTCATTCAGTAGATATTTTCTACTCACCCTATCATACTAATAGTTTTTGAACCATGAAAAAGCTAGTTGACAATCCTGCTTGAGTCCTGGAGCTGGCTGTTTGTACTTTGGCCAGGCTATTTAAAAGGTGTACTCCTATTTACCTTTGACCTATATTAAGATACATATTCACAATTATTGAAACAACAGTGTAAGTAAATATTACCAAATCAGAGATACATACCGTGTAGCAAGTTTATGGCAAATTACACCAGTATCCGTTATGACTTCACTTAGCCTCAATTCTAGATGGACCTTTCCCTGAAATGTAGAATTGCAAAAATTAAGATTACATGTGTATAAGTGTGATGGTTAAAAAATATTAAAATATTGAGATTATTGATGTAAAATCCCATGTCTTGTAATTCAGCTTCAATCAGCCTATCAAGTAAATAATGGAAGGAAGGAAATCAACAACAGATAAGGTTTCAAGATAAATAACCAGGCTACTTTAGCTCAGTAGTTTAAACAAAGAACATGATTATCTATGCCTCTAAATTGCCTGTAAATTAAGAATAAATGACAGTTGGGTTGATGATCAGGAAAAATCCATAATCCATACTGAGCCAATTAATAATAGCTGCAAGCTTTTGAAAATCTCAAGTAAAAAAATTAAAAACCCAGAAAGAGCTTACAGAATGGAAACAGATTTGACTTTAATAGTTGGACTTTATATTTCCAAAAATGGAAAACAACTACAGCATGTGCTTGCTTCTTCTTCCCAGCAAATTCCAGGAGAGTTTCTGATGCAACTTAACACTGCTTCTATACACAACAGAGACTATTTTGCGCGACTAGAAACTCTCCATCCAAGAACATAATCATCTACAGACAAAATGGGGAGTTTTATCTATCTTCTCCGATGAAGACTTCTTGGAAATTTGCACCCAACATTAAATGAGGACATTGTGAGAGCAGCCCAGAAAAGCAGCGTATCTCAGAGAGATGGACAGCGTATTTTCTCTGCTTTTCAGTCTGGAGAAAAGTCTATCTGGTTGCCTATAAAAGAATTTATTTCACAACTTCCATCCCTATACATAGTGTCTCATGTATGAATTTGCCTCTGATTTAGTGAAATCCTTTGTGAGACCTGACAGGAATGTAAACTGCAGCATGAAAATGTCAAGCATGAGGGGGAAACGATGAAACTAGCCATAGAAATTAATTCTCAAAAGCCTACTGACAGTGATCAGACCTGGGACACAGCGCTTCAGAATATTAAAAAGCATTTTTTTTCAAAACACCTTCCTTTTCAAAACAGGAAAGAGGAAATACTATTATTACTCACATATAACAATAATAAGCAGGATATAACATTCAAGATGTTAAATGGCTGGCTTAAACAGATTTCAGTTTTAGCAGATTTTAAACGAATCTTCTTTAAAAAAAAAAAAAGTCACAAGCAGCCAGCAACACCTAGCTGACCTTGGCTGATCTCAAGAAAGCTAAACAGGGTCAAACATGGTTAGGAGGTGGGTCGGAAATGACTGTACTAGGAAATCCCAGGACTAGAGGCAAGACAGCTAAATCAAAAAACAATCTGGAAGAAAGCGGTAGTCAACTGTTTGGAAAACAACATGGATACAGCCATCTAGTCACTAGGAGTCAAGCTTGATTCAAGGATGACTTTACTTATTTTTTCAAAATAGGTAGCCTTTAAAAAAAAATAGTTAAAATAGCCAACTTTTCAAAATCAACAAATACAGGTCCAGGCAGATGTAAAACTATCATGTTGTCAATTAGAAAAAAAATTATTTGCCACCAAAATAACAACTAGATGCCATGTTCCCCATTTAGGGAAACCAGATATCCATCATGCTCCATTCTCTCCATCCCTACTCCCATCAATCATTGCCGATAACATGGACAAAAAGTTGGAGAAATGCACAATGTCAGGAATTAGAAAACAGTGTACTTGGTTGCTGTTATCTGTTAAGCACAAACTTTTCTCAGGCATTTTCCTTGCGCAGAGATGTCTCCAGGGTGTGGTCAAAAAAGTCAAGATGATGGCTACAATGGGGCAATTGAAGTTCCATCAATTTTTTAGGTGCATTGCAGCTGCCATCTTGACTTTGACCACACTCTCTGGACACCCCTGGTATAAATAGGTGTAATTACAAGAGAGGCAGAAAGATAAACACAATGCTTTCCATCTCTAGTCACTCTCCACATGGGTAGAAGGGCAGCACTTTTTACCAGAGACCTTTCTGTGAAGACTCTCTACAGGTAGTCCTCGCTTAACGACCCTAATTGGGATCAGAATGTCTGTTGCTAAGCAGACCACAACAGTGGTCTTTAGGCAAAATATCATGTGACCGCACCACTTAGCAATGGCAGTTCTGGTAGTCCTGGTTGCAGTCATTAGGTGAGGAACACGCCATCATTAGGCGAGGACCTCATGCTTCTCCTGTCCTGCTGCGCTCGCCTCCATTTCAACTCCCCTCACTGTTTATATTCCATCTCTGCCCTTTTGGCCACCTTGCACTCCATGCCACCTACCCCTGCTGCCCCCCTCACCAATCTTCACTGTCTTCTTCCCGCTGATGACGAGGTATGCCCAGGCCAGGTGGCTGCTGACCCTTCATGAGGCCTCCCTGTATGCAGGGCGGCCAAAAGGGCAGAGATGGGGTGGGAGATGAGTGGGTGGAGGGAGCTGAAGTGCACACTGTGATTGTAAATGCAGGCAGGCTGTCAAGTGCCCAAATTTTGATCACGTGATTGTGGGGGCACTGCAACAGCTGCAACTTTGAGGACCGGCCAACTTAACCATCCCCTTTTCTTCTTCCCCTGTGTACACCTTCTATGCAAGAATACAGGCAGTCCCCAGGTTAAGAATGAGTTCCATTCTTAAGCCTGTCTTTAACTTGAATTTGTATGTAAGTCGGAACTCATACTTATGAATGGGCTGCCCGTTACTAAAAATCATGGACGGCGTTCTTCCTGGAGCTGATGAACTGGTGAAGCCACGCAATGTTTTCATGAACCACTGAAAACTACTGAAAATAGGCTGTATATTAAATGTGTGTGTGTGTGTGTGTGTGTGTGTCTTCAGCAGTTCAAGAATACGAAGTATGAGTTGTCCATAACTCGGACATTCTTAACCCGGGGACTGCCTATAATACAAGAATAATATCTGAAGAGAGCATTACACTGAAACGTAATTCTAGCCTTCGCGCTTCACTCCAATACAGACTGCTGGCAATGCCATGCTGAGATGACAATTGTAAACAACTACCCTGGCATTTCCAGGGTTCAAAATGTCTTACACAATTTTTAAAAGTAATCTGCTCTATAGCCATGTTAGATGAGTGTTACAGAGATGCCAATTCCTAAAACATGCCATTTTCCCATGGGTCCACTCACAGAATGAATTATAGGAGGTGCAACTGGGCCACTGAGTCCAACCCCTCGCTTTTGGCTGTGCACAGGACTCTCTGTTCCAGGGGTGAAACCCTGCAGGAAACACTACAGGGTCCATTTTAGTTCCAGAACATGCTAAGCAAGCTGAGTTTTGTAGTTTTCAGTGAGTCAATCTTCCAGAAGAGTTGTGGTTTATACTGTTCTAGAAGTAGCCCAACCCTGAAACAGCCACGGTTTCAACTTTTGCTAAAAGTCACTTTATGAGGTGCCTCTGCAGTTCTGAGGGGGGTTGCTGCCAAAATTGCCTCCATTTTTTGGTCTTCTATCAGCACACAGGACAAGCATGCTAAACAGTAAGCATCTTATGTGAACTTAGTTCCAGGGTGACAGACACCCTGACTCTCCTCCAATTTAGCAAATTCATGTCTCTCTCTCTCTCTAATTGGATCAGGGTTAATGTCTACATTCAGCCTTCTATATTCTCTGACTGATATGTGGTATGTGTCTCCTGTGCAAACTCTGTGGGAAACAAAGTCCATGGATCCTCTACATCAGGCATGCACAACATGTGGTCCACCAAGCAGCCTTGTGAGGCCCACCGACACTTTTTAAAAAGTCAATAAATTCACTGCTGCCCCGAAGACATGCTGTTGAGTGCTTCCAATGCCTCCAGGCCTTGCCAACAGCTCCAGGGCTGCTCCTGCTGCCCTGCTAGCTGCCGAACAGCTGACTGGCATGCCAAGTATTCTTTTGCGGCCCACCATGTGCTGGATGGCAAATATAAAAAAATTCCATTAGCCACAAGACTTTGTCCCTGTGATGCCAAGGAAGCAGAAGACATGGGTCATGTTCTTCTCCGTTGTACCTTTTACCAAGTCCCACAGAGTAAATTGCTTGCTCCCTTGATCAGTAAACAGCCTGGCTGTCAAGAATCAGATTACCTTCAAATGCTTCTTATGGACGACCGGCCTTATGTTACAGTGCAGGTAGCCAGGTTCTGCGCGGCGGCAATAAAGATCCGTCAACATTGGATAGGAAGCTGCTGAAAGGTTTTGCGGTAATGGATTATAGTCAACTAGTATTTTAGTTTGCATTATCAGGTACCTTCAGAATGTGTTTTAAAAGTATGATAAATTTTATTAGAATTTGTAATATTATTTGATAGCTACTAGCTTAAACAAGGTCCTTAGGTAGATTTTTGCTTGTGTTGGTCAAAGTCCATATTAAATTCTACTATTAGATCTGCTAGTCCTTA